AAATACTTGTTGTTATGTGCCCTCAAGTGGATTCTGACCCATAGCAACCCTGTATAGGGTTTCCAAGGAGCAACTGGTGAGCTTGAACCACTGACCTTGCAATTCAAACGGCTTTGCAGTCTGGCGCATTAACCCACAGCATAAGAATCAGGCCCCAAAACAATACCCAATGAATTCCCCAAGTCACATAACCTTTGTATTTAAAGGAGACATCAGAGGTCACCATCTAACTACTTGGAGTGCTGGTGTGGCACCAGCACTATACCACAAGGTCAGTTTGAACCGCAAGTTCAGCAGTTCAAACTCACGAGATGCTCCTTGGAAACCCTATACAGGGTCACTATGGTTAATGCACTGGACTGCAACGTCGGTTTGAACCGCAAGGTCGGCAGTTCAAGCTCACCAGCTGCTCCTTGGAAACCTTATACAGGGTCGCTATGAGTCAGAACCAACTTGACGGCACTTAGCAACAATAACAGTGGGTAAGAATCGACTAGACGTCACATAACAAGAACAAAAACAATCTAACTTCTTATCCATGGCTATCTCCTTTGTAGTGCCCTATAACCTGAACACACAATGGAGACCTCTTTTGAGAGATTAGCCATTGAATATCTTCTAATTGAGACATCCTCCTGTTCTAATAGCGGGTCCAATGGGGTGCATATTGCCCACTGGAACTGTGGGTCAGGCTGTACAGGGGGAGTTTGTGGAGGAGAGGTTCTGTGTAATCTAGAAGGGCTTTTAACTTTTAAGCCCTGTGAAGAGAAAAGCAATGAGGAGGACAACAAGAAGCTACCATCTAGCCTTCCAGGGTAAAGATGATGGAGATTCCCTCTTCTTAGAGGACATTAAAGCCACCAGGAAGCTTTAATAAAACACCATACTCAGGTTCCACCAAAACTAGTTCAATCAGAATGTGGGGTATAAGACCTGGGCATCAGTAATTTCATCTTAATGCTTCCCAGGATGGTAATCTAATTTGAGGGTCAAGAACTATAGATCCATATGGTTGCTCTTTGACATCCAGAGCTTTGTAAGATGTCTTAAATTTATAAAACATTTCTCGTTGCCAGTTTTATAACTATTGTCTCCACTCCCTTCAGAATTATCACGAAAATGAAAATTAGGTAGACATATGTCTTAACTTTGAGGTCATGGGAAGAAATGGGTAGTAGGGGTGGCAGTGGGATCTAAGTACCCCAATAGTGAAATTCTGAGAGGGCAGTGAGCTACTGGAATCACCCAGTAAGCCTGAAAAACTTATGAAGCCAGGGTTCATAGTTAGAAATTTTTATTGAACTGATCTGGAGTTGGAGCTCAGACATTAGGATCTTTTAACATTCTTGGGTAATCCTAATGTGCAGCCATGGTTGAGACCTACTGGGGTAGGACATAAATAAATATGAATAGAAGACCGATTTCCCATAGTCTTTGAAAAGAAAGGAAGGCATGAGGCAACAAGGTTGTGTCTGAGCAGTGTGGGTAGAATTTTAGAGGCCAGCAGATCCTTTGACATTTGGTGGTTGCAGTGCTATATAAGAACACTGGGGTGCATGTTTGGTTATTGGTGAAAAGACACAAATCATTTAAGTGGATCAGAGGACAGGACTGTGATTGACAGGAGGTAAAATTGAGTGGAACAGCTGCTAACTACTCCCACACCCCACTAAAATCTCTTCTGTGGACAGGAGCTGCTGCGTTTTGTCAGGTAAGGGATTGAGATTCACCAGGACACAGCACTGGAGACATTAAAACAAATTCATTCATTCATTAAAATGTACATATTATTGTGGTGCTATGGGCTAATGCCTAAGACTGTAAAGTCGTTTGAACTGCAAGGTCAGTAGATAAAGCTCACCAGCTGCTCCTTGGAAACCCTATACAGGGTCACTATGGGTCGGAATAGACTCGACTTGATGGCACTTCACAACACAACAACAACATATTATTAGCTATAAAATAATATCAATTATTTGGGAAACTTAAAAAATTCAAATGGAAAAACTCAAGGTACTAATATATCACCACTACTCTTTGAAAAAGGAGCTCTGGTAGCGTAGTGGTTGCGAATCGGGCTGCTATCCTCAGGGTCAGCAGTTCGAAACGACCAGCTGTTCCGTGGAAGAAAGATGAGGCTTTCTGCTCCCATAAAGATTTACAGCCTCGGAAACCTTGTACAGGGTTGCTATGAGTCGGAACCGACTCCACGGCACATAACCACCACCTTTGAAAACCACTATTACTCTTTGAAAATCACTAGTAATATCTTGGTATTTTCTTCTATTTATTGTATGTGCTTCTTTGAATATTAATATCAAATTTTATAGTGTTGTAACCTCTGTTAGTTATTTAACATTTTATAAGCATCATCTTGCTTTTTAAGTTGTTTTTGTTCATGGGAAATTTTTTTAATGTATATTTTTGTGTTTATTACTGTTACTATATAAGGAATTATGTATTTTTGTACATTTACTTTATGTCTAATATTCTTCTTTTCTTGTATGTTTTAAGGAATTCCATCGTTAATTACATAAAATTGTTTTAATTGTTGTTGTTGTTGTTGCTGATAAGTGCCATCAAGTTGGTTCCAATTCATTGCGACTCTGTGTAGGATCTCCAAAGAGCAGTTGTTGAGTTTGAACCTCCAACTTGGGGTCCAGTGTTTTATTCCACAGCACCACACCAAGACTAGTATTTCCAAATATATACTAATCATACTTCTAGAGCGTCTCTGATCTCTCGGATCTCCTCAACACTGCTGACACTGGATTTCACCACCTCAGCTCAGACTCTTATGCCCCTTTTCCTTTCTGTAAGAGTTACCCAACTGAACAACTGCTTTCCATCTGTGCAATGGAATGGCATTACTCATTTAAAATAAAAAAAGTTCTAAACCTACTTATTGCATAAGCAATAGAGAAACATTGGTAATTTTTTTATTTGCAGCTTGATATAAAGTGGGAAAGATTGACTAAGTCATGCTCTCTTCAACTGAGGGTCTCTCCTTAGAGTCACTGATCCATCTACCATGCCCGAGTCAAGGGCAGATGGAAGCCCATCTCATTGCTGTCTGGCAGAGTCCATTCTGACTCAGCAAACCTATAGGATAGAATAAAACTGCCGCTCTTGGGTTTCCAAGGTGTGGCATTCTAGGATAAGCATTGAAAGTCTCACTACAAGGTCAGCAGTTCAAACACACCAACTGCTCCTTGGAAACCCTATTGAGGGTCGCTATGAGTCAGAACATGACTTGATGGCACTGAACAACAAAAACAACAATCTTTATGACGCAGATCACCACATCTTTCTCCCATCGAGCAGCTGTTATGTTCAAACCCGGGACTTTTTGAGTAGTAGCTGAACTCTTTTAGCTACTATACCACCAAAGTTACTGAGTGAAATGCCTACACTGACATTGAGTCTACTCTGACTCAGAGCTTCCTTATCCGGCATAGGAGCCTTTCCCCATAGGGTTAAATATCTGTGGAAGCAGTCTACCTCCCTTTTCTCCTGGGGAGCACCTGGTGGCTTCAAACCACCAAATTTTTGCTTAGCAGTTCAACACTTAACCAACGACACCAGCAGGGCTCCTCAGTAGAAGCCAAGTGGTTTTAAAATACAGAATTCCAAATGCACTTAGCACCAACCAATTCACAGGTTGTGACTACAACTCTTATTTTAGAGGTTGGTAGAAAATATAAACAGAAAAAATAATTTAAAAATTAAATTGTGATTCAAAGTCCAATGTAAGGATTGGATTAAAAACAAGGATACTAGGGATATTTTCCATGTATATTTCAGATTATGTCCTTCACCTCAGCTAAATGTATTTGGCTGGTCCTTCTAATATCTGCAGATTGTGATTGTTGTCTCTCACATTGGGACCATGATGTCTCTATATCATAAGTAGTGAACTACAAACCACGAGTTTCGTGGTTTGAGCTCGCCAGCTGCTCCATGGGGGAAAAATGCGGCTTTCTGCTCCTGCAATGACATAAAACCTTGGTAATTTATACAGGGTTTGTATGAGTTGTTGTTGACTGCACTTAATAAAAACAATCTCTGACATTCGTGCCATATCTTCATTTGACCTTCACTATATTTTGGACTACTTCAAATATATTTTATGATTTCAAATGCATTTTAGTTTCTTTGGAAATATAACTAATTTTTCTTTTGTTTTCAAGGATTCCGTAAGAGCAGAAATATAGGGTGGGAAGTCCATCTTATTACATTCTCTTAATGTATTTTCTAAGAATTCTGTCAATTTCGGATATGAGAAGGTGGAAGGGACAAGGTAATGGTAGCTCCGGACAGTTCAGCTGAGAGTAGGGATAAAGTATTGAGGATTAGAGAAAGGGTGGTCTGGAAAGTGGGAAAATATTTGCACAGACAGCTGGGAACTTATACTGGGCTTTGTACATAGAAGGTTTAAAGCATTAATAATGAATGGATGAATTGAATGGATTCACACATACACTACTGGGATATTTCCTTGCAGGAATTCATGGAGTCAGATGCTGGTATCAACAAAACAGCTGTTACTGAGTTCATACTACTGGGCCTAGTGGAATCAGAACAGCTTCAGTTTGTGGTCTTTGTACTCTTCCTCTTTGCCTATGTGGTCACAGT